AAGTGGCGCTGTAGCTCAAGTGGTAGAGTGCTAGCCTTGAGCTGAAGAGCTGAGGGACAGTGCCCAGGCCTAGAGTTCAGGCCCCACAACTGGACCCAAAAAAAGAAAAAGAAAAAACTAAGGGACAGTGCTTAGGCCCCCTGAGTTCAAGACCCATACTGGCACAAAAGTTGGAGGCGGAGGAGGCGGAAGAGGAGGCGGAGGAGGACGTTGTTTTTACCTACTCCTGGCTAAAACAGGCAATTTGTACCAAGATAAAATATTTGCTTCCAAAAATGATTCAGTTGCCCTCTATCCATGTACATTTACCTTCGGGCTCTTTGCTCTTATCAGACTGTAGCATGTCTGACAGGTGATTGGGAAGCAGATTGTGAAGGTTGGATAGTTTCTCGAAGGTATCAATCAGGACATCAGGATTGGCATAGTTTTTGGCTGTTGTGTCAAGGAGTGGAAATTTGAATAGAGGGGGATTGTTGTTGTGTGTTTCCATGATGGCTTGCTGAGTTACAAAGAAGAAACAGACTTTGATGAGTGAGGTGTCTTGGGGTTGTTCCTCTCAGCATCCCTCCATATGCAAGAGGAGACCATAGAACCTACTTCATGGTCTCTGACAGCTTCACATTCTGAGAGTCACAATGGTCCACAGTTGAGCCTGGAACTCTTAAGTGTTCATCTTGCATCTTCAAAGCAGGGAAAAACAGTCCATGGAAATTATCCTGCCAAGTCCTTCTTCAGGGATTTTCCACAGAAATTCCAGCTTCCTTTCTGAATATGGATGAGTTCTAAGGAGAAAAGATAGCTTTCCTAAAGGGAAGGAGGGAGATTGCTAGGAACACAGCCCATAATATTTTCCCATCTGGCATTTCAGAGAGGCTTAGCACCCATGAATGTATATGTATAATTAAGACTTCATAGACCTACAAGGCAGAGAGAGAGAGAGAGAGAGAGAGAGAGAGAGAGAGAGAGGTGTTAACACAGCACAATCTGTGACAACTGAAGAAGAGCTTCATGTTCCAAAACTAAGGAAATGTCCAGATTAGCACAGGTAAGAGGACTATTTCTGATTCTCTTATCTAAACTAACATTGAAGAAACCAAGTAAACCAACAAAAATGTTTAATAGGAGCATTTCTGATAAAAGGCCATTCTTCAGTGTACTCAAAAGGTACTAAATAATCAGAAACCACCAACTTTAGCATTGCTCTAAACAAGTTAGAAGCTACCAAGAATTACTCCTGATTTAGGAGAAAAATACAAATGGCAGGATTGGTTAGAAGTACTCTTTAATTTCAGTGGCCAGCCAGTGAGGCAAGGTCTCTGTAATTACTCACTGTTGTGAATAGGTAGGGGAACATTGCAAAATGGTTAGGAAACCAGGAAGAACATCTAAAACCTGGATGGTGGTGGCAGCTAGTGTTGGCCTGGAATTTAAGTTCTAGTATTAACTCGTATTTGCACGTACGTGTGCAAACACACGCACACACATGCAATAAGCAAAAGTAGTACTTTTAACTTAAAAATCTTTAAAATAGTTTGTGAACTAATCACTTAATCAATGTAAATCTTGTGATTATATGGGTATTTTTGGCAGAACTCTAGCATCTGAAACACAGATCCCTTAGTTTATTTTTTCCAAGCAAAGTAGAATACATTACTCTAAACCTTCATTTTCATAAATAGAAAAGAACAAGCCATACCAATGTAGTGATCTACCACATACCAAACAATGTAATCTATTCCATTGTAGTTCTTAAAGACTTCTGTTACATTAGTTATTGCACATTTAAATTTTGTAACCATTAAAATGAAAAAAAAGTGATTCTGTATATGCCATGTAAATTAATCCAAATGTGATCTAAATGGCAAGGGCTGGAATTCCTCTAGCTGTCTGAAGATTGTTGGCCTGGCTGAAATCAGAAGTAGATCACAAATAATTAAGATGCACTTTTAAATCCACCTATTATAGCTAATGGAATGTTAAGGTTTGCACTGATCACTGTTCTGCTGAACATCATGAAGACAGAAACTGATGGAAGGAAAGAGGCTTATTCCAAACCAGCCCTGAAGAAGACAAAGGCCATTCTTCATCTCAAAGCAACTCTAGAACATTTAGGGCACAGAGGTTTTCTAGGAGCAAAAAGAGTGTCCAGAAAGAGCATGGGCAGGATGCCCAGATGTTGGGTGGTGTTCTCACCCAAGGGTGGGTCTTCTGTCCTCTTCTTGGTAAGGATATCACATGAACTTCAATATCCTGCAGCTACACTACCAAAACCTAATGGGTGAGGGTAGGAGGGGGGCTTCTGTGAATTTTTGGGAGCTGTGAATGATTAGGAAAAAATTGAGACAGGAAAATAGGAGAGAAGACACACACACACACACACACATAGGCAGCTAGCCAGATGAAACTAGCACTGTCGCTGCTCTGCAGGAGTGGGGTTTGGGTACAGATTTTATGCTTTTATGGGTTTAGGGGGATTGTCTTAAACAGGTGGTTTTTAGGTAAAGCCACAGAAAGATACCAGATGGATAGAGGTCATGTTTATTCCAAACTCTGTCCATAGATTTCGTCATTAGGCCAAATGAAGTTGCTGCCCCATCCCAGCATAGATTCAGACTCTGCCAAGCAGCCTCAGTGTCATTCTGCTCACATGTTCACATTCTGTTCCTCAGAAGTAGCAGCACCCCATCACCCCCGGTCCTCCAGTGATGCTTATTTATACCTTCTCTAGACAAAAGCAACATAAGACTGCGCATGTGCGATCATTCTCAAGGCAATGTGGAGTTACTTAACATAGCATATGTGTATATGTGTGTGTGTCCAGGCTAGGTGAATTTGCAGAACCAGTTGAATCCTAGGCCTTGGGAAGTGCAGGCCCAAAGCCCTCCAAAATTATGGTGAGAGAAATCTAGCTTACCATTTACCCCTCAGGCTGTCTTCCTTTCCGTGGACTCAGACCATGATTTGAATTTCATATAGGAGAGAACAGCAAAAGAATATTCCATGTGCAATCCACACAGCACATTTTCTGCACTAGCTCACCTCAGCATTACACATTCCACCTGGCCCTTGGTGTTTCTCTCTCTTCCATAGTTCCTTAAGCATGGCCTCTTCCACATTCTCTCTAGGAAAAAAAAACAATTAGAGAGGAATGGGAGAGAAAAGGAAAGAAAGGGAGCAAGAGATGATATCCCATGAACATTTCTAGTGTCAAATAAAAACTGCTAGCAAGGATGAAGAAAAAAATGCATCGAAGGTGAATGTAAATGAGCACAATCATTGTGCAAAGCACTTTGGAAGTGCAACTGCTGCAAACTCAGCAATCCCACTGCCAGGTATTCACAAAAGGGAATAAAATCCGTGTGTGGAAGAGACACCCAAACTTCTAGCTTCATTGCAACCACAAGGATAAGTAATCAACTCAAGTGTCCATCAGTGGATGAATGGAGGAAGAAAATATGATGTGAGATGATAGATTTTAATATGTATCATATACAAATATATATAATTTATATATATTTTGCATATATTTTATTAACATATATACACAGATGTATGTGTGCATACACACACACACACACACACACACACACATATATATATATATATATATATATACACACATGCTTTGAATAGAATATCACTCAGCCAAATAAGCTAGCCATGGTTCAGCTTTTTAAATGAGTAAGACTTCAAGGGATCAATCATTCATTTTTCTCTAATTCTGATGTGGTAGAAAAAACCCTGTTCAGAGTGATGGCTAACAACCATGGACCAGCCTGGCAAGTGGTCTGCTGTGCAACTGTAGTTTGAGCCACCAGGTCTTAGCCTAGAAGGCTGAGTATCACAGGATCAACTTGTCTGATTTGCAATTGCATCCAGTATATTGAGTTTTTCAAGACTATGTTTTATTTTCCTTATTTGTTTTTATTTTTTGGTCATGTGCTGTCCTGAAGCTTGAACTAAGGGCCTCTCACTCTCCCTTGATTTTTTTCACTTAAGGCTGATGTTATACCATTTAAGCCACTCCTAGCCCCAGACTGGCTGTGAACTGCAATCCTTAGATCTCTGCCTCCTGAGTAACTAGGATCACAGGTGTGAGCCACCAGTGCCCTGCAAGACCATGATTTCCTTTCCAAGGACAGATTAGAGCTCTGCCAAGCTCTTCTCCTTGCTGCCAAGAGTCTTCCATGCCCGACCAAGCATGTTTACCTGTTTACCCTGGCAGCTCATTGTTGACTAAATTGATCCTTCAGGGTAACAGAACTCTGGATTGTTTTTCAAGTTAGGTAGATCTTTGTGATTCTTAGGTAAATGGCAATTGCTATTTTTTTGTTCCAAAGAGGACTCTTGATTCTCCTGAGCATCTTTCCCTGTCGTTGGGCCACGGTGGATGGGACAAGGTCAGCTGGCTTCCAGAAGGCAGAGTGTTCAGTAACGTTCAGAGGGAGAAGATGATATCAAAGTTTCTCAAAGGAAGTGTCCTGAAGAGAGTGTTTGGCTCACACCAAATGAGGTGGGAGAATCTGGAGGACCAGAGAGAGGATTCCAGCCCCACTTTTCCTGGTTCCAGAAAGTAAGTTCTGACACTGAAAATTAGATGAAAGTGCAACATGAACTTGTGCTGTATGGCTAGGAAAACAACTAAGTCCAGACATCCTCCTGCTGCAGGAAGACCGAGGTGGATGGGGCACCTGCACAGACTGGGGCACACAGGGAGGGACCCGGGCCTTGGGGTACCCCCAGAGAAGACAACGGGAATGACACATGGACCAGCCACACTGAGGGGTAAGAAGCCCCAGCCCTAGCCACTTGCTCCCCACCTGCTGCCATTGAGGCTGATCATGATGGGGAGGGGGAGGGAACCTCTCCCAAAGGGGTCTCCTCCACTCATTGCCTCCCTACCCTATGCAGCCCTGAAGTTCCTACCCCTGGAATGCAGGCATAGGGCCTCTTCCAGGGTCCCTTCCCAGGACACACACCTGAGGGGAGGCCCAAGCAGCTTACCCTACTCAGCAGCTGGCTTCTGCCTGTTTCAACTCCAGAGCAAATAGCAGGTGGATCTAGATAGAGCTTTTTCTCCCATAGACAATACAATGTAAATCATCTACCAGGGATTACTACAGTGGCTTTGTCATTTTTTTCAGATAGCCTTGTTTTAGTCCACTGATGGTTTTCCTTTACTTCACAACTATTTTTTCCCTTAAATGATAATGGGTATTTTAGACGGGATAGTAATTTAGTGAGGAGGAAGTTGTCAGTCCCATAGGATGGTTAGTATCTCCTGAACCTGCCTGAAGTTCTTATTTTGTCCATAGGTGAGGCTGGCTTTGCTTTCAAATGAATTACTTTTTGTTTTGCATGGTCAACAACATGGGCCCAGTTTTATAAATTCCATCCTATGTTTTTTTCCAATTTGTATTCCATTTCCTTATCTAATAGCTTCTTTCTCACCTCTAAGCTTAAGTTCCTAATCTCTGACAGTTAGACCTCCCAGTTCACTCTTGTATGCCATTTCTGGTTCATAGGGTGAGTTCATAGGGTTACCTCCACCCTACCCCCACAGTTCTCCTCTGCTTTGTAAGTAGGGGTAGAGGTGAACTGAAGATGGAACCCAGGGCATGAGCAGGTTAGGCAAGCATTCTCCCTCTGAACTATATCCCAGGACCTCTAAGCATTTTTCTTAGCTTCCTTCAGATGGGGAGCCAAGATATACACTCTGTTTCTGTCTGTCTTTGTCTCTGTTTCTGTCTCTCTTTGTCTCTGTTTCTCTCTCTGTGTGTGTGTCTGATTGTCTCTCGCTGTTTCTCTGTGGAACTCAAACTCAGGGCATGGATGCTGTCCTTCAGCTTTTCACTCCAGGCTGGCACCCTACCACTTGAACCATAGCTCCACTTCCAGATTTTGGTGGTTTATTTGAGACCAGAGTTTCACTTTTTTGCCCAGAATGGCTTCAAAATAGGATCCTTAGATTTCAGCCTCCCCAGTAGCTAGGATAACAGGTGGGAGCCACCCAACTCAAGCTTATACTTTCCACATACAAATGTAGACCTTACCCCTAAGTGTGCTTATCCTACAACCTGTATAGGAGACAGAGGAGTAGCTACAACAAAATGGAGAGAAGAAATGGTGAGAGTTGCGACACTAACCTCCAGGAGTCAAGCATCACTCAGGAGGTATGGCAGATGCTCTTGCACTTGAGCTTTAGGCAGCAGCTCCCATAGCTGACACATAACTCTCACTGAGTCTTCCTGCAGAGGTAATTTTGCTCTGCTGGCTCTTCTTGTGCACTTTGTACTGAGTTTTCCCCTGAGCATATTTGAGATAGCCGGTGTGGGTGGGTGGGTGGGATTTGGTTTCTTTTAACAAAGAGAAATGTAGCTTCTCCCTAAATCTCAAAACATTCCTAATTGCAAATGTTTCAGTATAAAGATGATCCCTTGTCATCAATCAAGCAAGGACCACCTTTTTACTTTTTTGCAAGGTATTTTGGCGGGAAATTAGGCAGGTGGGATATCAAAGAGATCCAACAACTTCCCAACCTTAGGAAATTTTACAAACCAGAGGACTACCCTTGCTAATTTCACTGTGTAAAAAGCTCAGTTTTCACAAACTTTGCTTTACTGGGTTAAATATACGGCTATTTCTCTCATATATGACTCCCCAAAACACAGAGCATAAAAACCGGGCCTCCTACTCATCCTCTGGAATCAGAATCTATAGCAATTTTTCAATTTTATTTCATTTTCCCAGTGCTGGGGACCAGAGACAGGGCCTTATACATGCTCAAGTGCTCTGCCACTAAGCCACACCCTAATCCCCAACTGTTATTCCTTCCTTATTGTTATTATTATTATTTCCAATCCTGAGGCTTGAACTCAGGGCCTGGGGCTGTCCCTGAGCTTTTGTGCTCAAGACTGTACTCTACCACTTGAGTTACAGTTCTAGTTCAGTTTAAGAGTTTTACTACCCTTACTTGCCTTGGCTGGCTTCGAAGTATGACCCTTAGATCTGAGCCTCATGAGTAGCTAGGATCCCTGGCTTGAGCCACCAGCACCATGCCTTGTTAATATTTTAAATCAATGTTCAAATCCTACTGCCATCATTTTTAACCAAAATGAGACTGAAGCCTTAAATGATTGGAAAATTCTTTCCATTTCCTGAATAGTAGGTGTTCCCAAGCTTGTTTTGGTTTGATAGGAGAAAAATCTTATCACACCACTCCTTCTGTCATTGGGGAAGCAGAGGGTTATGGAGCTCTGTTCCCGTTTTCATATCTCCCCCAAAGAGTGTGTAAAATTGTGTACTTGAGCTTTACAATTTTCTTACTCTTGAAGTTTATCCTAAAACGAGTAACAAATATTGTTTTAGAACTTATCTCACTGGAAATTGGATTTGGAAGTACCTGTTCTTGAAAATAAAATCCTCCCACCTGGAAGGGATAATGCAACAGGTGGTAAGAAATTCTGGATGTATATATTTATGCTGGAATACTTATATTAAAGGGAGGTTGTTTGGATTATTGCTTGTTTTATATAACTATTAATTGTCATTTTTATATACATTCTTCCAGGCAAAATTAACAAGGTAAGGATATTTGGTTTAAAATAATTCACAAAATATATTGTCTGAAATAATATATATGTTCTTTAAAATTTTTGTTTTTCTTCCTCCTCAAACTTAAAACTTTATTTCTATAAGCTGGGCATGGTGGCTTGCACTTGCTACTCTAGCTACTCTGGAGGCAGGAATTGAGAGGATCATGGTTTGAGGCTAGCTTGGTCAAAAAGTTCTTGAGTCCTCTTCCCAACTAATAAAATCTGGGCATATTAGTATACCCCTGTCATCTCAGCCACACAGAAAGAGTAAATAGGAAGACTGTATCCAGGCCAGCCTGGGCATAAATGCAGGACTTATTTAAAAACTAAGCTAAGCAGGGTGCTAGTGGCTCCTAGCTACTCAGGAGGCTGAGATCTGAGGATCAGGGCTTGAAGCCAGTCTGGGAGATTCTTATCTCCAATTAACCACCAGAAAGTCAGAAGTGGAGCTCTGACTCAAGTGGTAGAGTACTAGTTACGAGTGAAAAAAGTAATAAGGAAGAGCACCCAGGCAGTGAGTTCAAGCCCCAGTATGAAAGAAAGAAGGAAAGAGAAAGGAAGGAAGGAAGGAAGGGAGGGAGGGAAGGAAGAGAGAGAGAAAGAGAAAGAAAGAAAGAGGGAGGGAGGGAGGGAGGGAGGGAAGAAGGAAGGAGAAAGAAAAAGAAAGAGAGGGAAGGAGGAAGGGAGGGAGGGCAGGAGAAAGGGAAGAAGGGAAAGAGGAAGGGAGGGAGATAGAAAGAGGGAAGGGGAGTGAAGGGAGAGAAAAGAAAAATATCATGCAGTTTCTGAAATATTGTCCATGATTTTTCTATTGCCAGAACAGTAAACAAAGGCTATTTCATTTATGGAGTTATCCTTTTAATGAAGGAAATACCATGGAAAACAGGTAAGAGAATAGATTCTTCAGAGGTGATCTTATCCTCTCTTTACCTTAGCTTCCTTCTCCATGACAAGTGGAAAATAAAAGAGCTTTCTTAGGGATGTTGGGATTATAAAATTGAATAATCATGATGTCTCAGGGATGAAAGTTTTGATACCAATAGAAAAAAATTATTGTGCTGCTGCTGCTCTAACTCAAAATCTAGGAGCTGTCCCTTAGCTTTTTCACTGAAGGTTGGTGCTCTATCACTTGAGCCACAGCTCCTCTTGGCTATTTAGTAGTTAATTGGTGATACGAATGTCATGGACTTTCCTGCCTGGGATAGCTTTGAATTGTGATCCTAAGATCTCAGCCTTATTAGCTAACAACACAGGTGTGACCCATCAGCACCTGTCTTCAATGAAGTATTTTATTTGAAAATTTTCTCTTCCACATGTCATACACAAAGAGTATCAATAAAGATATTTTCATGTAGTGTTAGATATTTCAGAGATTCCTATTAATTCATGTTGTTCTCTACCCCCTCCATCCACTACTGCCTTCCTCCTGCAGATTTCTTTCTCCTTTTACAGTATATAGTACATGGACTATATCTGTTAACTGGTATAGATTTGAAGTGATTTGCCTGAACTTTTTCAAAAATAAGGCAGTATTCCTGTTTAGCTAAATGAATACATTATATCACTTTCTGTAAAAATGAAAGCATTTCCCCAAGACTTAGATTATGCTATCTTTAAGATTTTCTTTATTAAAAGATGTTGAGACTGCCCATCAACTAAATACTTCAAATCTTACAATGTTAGCATTTCTAGATATCTTTTTTTTTTTCCCCTGAAATGTTGCCCAGACTCAACTTGAACTCCTGAGTTCACATGATCCTTCTGCAGGCACCACAGGTGTGAACTGTAACACCTTCTTCTCTAAGTGCTTTAAAACAAACTAGAAACTCAGCATTTTGTTTTGTTTTTGTACTTTTACAGTTTATTTTTGTCGGTTGTGGGGCTTGAACTCTTGCCTAGGCACTGTCCCTCAGCTCTGCAGCTCAAGGCTAGCATTCTACCACTTGAGCCACTTTCTGGCTTATTCTGTTTATGTGGTGCTGAGGAATCGAACCCAGGGCCTCATGCATGCAAGGCAAGCACTCTACCACTGAGCTACCTTCTCAGCTCTACAGTTTCTTTTTAAAAATAGTATTTCTGCTAATGGAGAAATTTCTAGGAACTGTTGAAGGCAATTTTTGTTTCATAGGCACTGTTGACTTCGTTTCTTGTTAGAATTGTTAAACCTGCAGTGGCTAACACGGAAACCTTTCTTTAAAATTTTCTTTTTGCCAAGTGCTGGTGGCTAATGTCTGTAATTCTAGCTACTCAGGAGGCTGAGATCTGAGGATCATGGTGTTTGTTTTTTCCCAGCCCTGGTAGGAAAGTCTGACAGTCTTATGTCTACTTAACTACTATAACAGCCAGAAGTACAGCTGTGGCTCAAGTGGTAGAGCTCTAGCCTAGAGCAGAAAAGTTCAAGGACATCTCCTGGGCCCTGAGTTCAAACCCCAGGACTGGCACACTTTTTTTTTTTCTTTTTACCAATCTGGAGACATGGCTCAGATGGTACTTGCTCAGCAAGGACAAGGTCCTAAGTTCAAACTTCCATGCCACTGCAATCCCCACCTCCATTCTCCCTAGGTTCCTTTTATCTAATTCCAAGTTAAAAACACTTTACTATAATTTCAGTTTGATAGTCTCATCTGCAGACACCAGAACTGCACATACAACACAGGCAAATACATATAGCTAGCCACTGTTAACTAGTGTCTATACATAAACACAGTTAACCATTCTTAGATATCATAACTACCCATTGCTGTGTGCTGGTGGCTTATGCCTGTAATCCTAGCTACTCAGGAGGCTGAAGTCTGAGTATTCCAGTTCAAGACCAGGTGGGACAGGAAATTCCATGAGACTTTTAGCTCCAATTAAACAGCAAAAAAGCCAAATGAGGGTACAAGGCCCTGAGTTCAAGCTCCAGTACTGGTGTGTGCATGCGTGCGCGCACACACATACACACACACACACACACACACACACACAACTGCCCCCCCCAAAACAAACTACGATCTTTCTATGCTTCCACAAGGGTACCTAATGTTTCAGTCTTTTCTTAAAACAAATGTATGTATACACACACACACACACACACACACACACACACACACACACGGATGTAATTTGAAAGTTAACCTATTTCTATGTCAGGTATCTTAACCATTCCTTGACAAAAGTTACTTATCATTTAATGGCATTTTAATTCTAGTCAACAAACAATTAATGACCTTTTTTCTTTTTAAGGGAATTAGAAAACTCTTCAGTGGAAAGTGGTGCTAAAATAACCACAAATACCTCAAGGATCTTCCGTCTAAGCCACTCCTTAGCAAATGCTCTAGATGACCACCCAGTGATGATACCCTTAGGTCTCTACTGGCCCTATGCGGATGGAGACTTTTTAAAAGCCAGAAATGATTCTCATATTAATTCAAACTCAACTATAGAAAGCTATAGTGGTGATACTTTATCCATCCCACGTTGGAACTTAAAATCTGGACACAGCAGTTTGGAAGAAAATTTAACAGATGAAAGTGATTTATCGGAAGGTGAGAAGACCAGTGATAGTTTACTTGGCTATTTTCAAAAGATGGAGCTGAACTTAAAGCCAGAAACAATAGAAAACATGGAAGACTCTTTCACTGAGGAACCAGCCGAAGCGTTTCTATATCCAGATTTCCTGCCCCCTCCTTTCAATACTCTGGACTTGCACAGACTCGCCATCTCTAAATGTGAAAGTTGGAAAATGATAGTGGAACCTCCAGAAAACCCCCTAGGGAACCTGATAAATCGTTTATTGGAACTGGAAAAATTACAACATGCCACTATACAAAAAGAGAGGCCACGACCACAGTCAACTTTCTATACTCCCATTGTTTCTGAGCGACCCTCCTCTTCCAAAGTTGTGTTGAAACTGAGACAGCCAAAACTTCCTGACCCTTCAAGTTTGCAGATAGCTTGTATAGATAAAAGTCGAGAAAAGAGAAAAAACAATTCTGGATCTAGCAAGCCTGAACAAAATGCTTCAAGATGGAGCTGGAGCAATGCTGGCAAATACAAATGGAATTCTAGACCATCATCTTTTAAAAATTTATCCACCACAAAACAGTTGACTGCGACTTGTGATGATTTCAAGAATCCCAAAAATTCCATTTTAAATCCATGCCAGGAACTGTCACCCAAACTTACTACTGGGCAAACAACTCAATCATTAATTAAAATGGTCTCAACAAGATGTCTGCCACCACCGTCCCCAGGACCGATTTCACCTATATCCTTGTCTTTTCCTGAAAATCAAAGGGAAGAAATTAAGGCACCAAGGAACAAAAAGAAACCTTACAAAAGAAGTATACTATTGAACAGACCATTCTATATTCAGAAACTAAACTGTTTGTCACCTTCATTTATAGCTAAGGGTAAGCACTCTCCTATTGCTCAAAAGTAACTCTTTCATATAGAACCATACAGTACAAGTAAATCTGCTTTAAGAAGCCCAGCCAAAACACAGTTTATCATTGAGAAACAAGTATTAAGAACAACCTCCTCAACCCCCAAATGATTGCTTGGCATATGGAGTGGACATGTGGGAAAGTCACTGTTGAGATGGCTTCCACACTTGACATTTGACTGTTTTTTTGCATGTTAGATTTCAGAGATAGTTTTCTTAGCAAACTATTGTATTCAGGAAAAGCAATCTTTTGTGATTGTTTTTCTGGTATAATTCTAGTCAATAAATGGTACAATTGACTTCCTGCTGTTTTTCTTTTGTTATATCCTATTATATAATCATGTAAAATATAGTTACCTGCAGTGATTTTCCTTAGTCCTCTCTTTGACACCTTTTCCCTCTCCTCTATCTCCACAAAGCTGATCTCTGGTCATCTGGCCCTTCAGTTAAAGAAGCTGCTGTTCCGTTAAGGGATTTTACTAGGTTCTTCCAAATTCTTAGCAACTATTTCTTAGACCCTTCTTTATAATCTACAGGAACTATTAATTCTCTTAGGTAGAAAATAACATTTTCCCATTTAGACCTAATAGTTAAAAAGTGTTGGAGGAGCAGTAAGACCACAGTTCACAAAGTAGCCAAAACCATGTTACTGGTTTCTTTTTCTCCCAAGGCTCTATATTGCTGTGAGTCTTAACCCTGGCTAAAGGAAACCCAAACAACTAAAAGCTCACCCACTAACTGGCAGGTAAGGAAGGGATGTGATGGACAAACTTTAGAGCACCTAAAAATCAGGGAACAGTTAAAAGTCCTGATTTCAAGGTATATATGAAAACCCAAGTTTTGGGGAGTAGGATCAACATCTGTCCACTCCATGTGATTCTAATGCAGAATGCTTATAGATCACACTTCAAAAAATGTGAAGGGAAACTACTGCAGCTTGTATAGTGTGTGTGCTTTGGCACAATGTAACTTGGTTTTAAGTGGAGAACGAATTCAAAACTAGTTCTGAACAGTACAAAGTAAGTTAAAATTTCACATACTCCCAGGTACTAAGTAATGCTGCCAATGCTGTTATTGATTTTGTGTAACATCTTCCCATGTGAGATGGAATATTTGAATTAGGGTTGCATGATCTAGATTAAAGGGCAACTCATAAATATATTACAAAATAAAATTTTTTTTGGTCAGTTGTAGGGCTTGAACTCATGGTCTGGGTGTTATCCCTGAGCCTTTTTGCTCAAAGCTAGTGTCACTTCTGGTTTTCTGGTGGTTAATTGGAGATGAGACTCATGGACTTTTCTGCCCAGACTGGCTTTGAACCCTGGTCCTTAGATCTCACCCTCCTGAGTAGCTAGGATTACAGCTGTGAACCACCACCAGTGCCCAGCTGTTCCCTCTTTTTTACCTTTGTAAGAGAGCAAGGCTTAAATAAATTTCCTGAGGGGGGAGAGCAAGGGGAGGGGGGCTTACAGCTTTTAGGTAACCTCAAGGAAATTTCTGGAACCACAGTAATACAAACAGCCAGGACACCTTAATCGAATTGACCTGCATCCCATAAAATGGGTCTCAAGGTAGCAATCCTTTCATAGGACTTCTATTTTCACTCAGTTCCAACTCACAATGACCCCTCTTGTTTCAGTTCAATCATTTTTACTCTCATCTTTGATATCCATGTAATTCAAGTCCTCAACATTACTCTTTAAGCTCTTCGACAGTTCTCACTTACACCTTTACTTACCTGGATTTCACCCCCTTGCTTTTAGGTTTATAATGATCTAATTTTCCTAAGACCTTTAGCAATAGACATGCCTACCTACTTCACCAGCGTCCTGATAGGTAGCAGTACTTTTAACTAGTGATCAGCAGACACTAAGTATCTGCCTGGCAAATGGACTGCTTCCATCTTTGGGATAGTTATGAGACTATGGCCACAGCCATGACTTGTTCTGAGAATTCTAGGCCAGACCTGTCACTGAACAGTGCTAATACTTTAAAGTTTTCCTTGACTTCTTTGTACTTTTTTTTTAATTGGTAAAACAGATGGATTACCCTTTATTTCATGCAATTGTGAGAACGGTGGAGGAATGACAATGTCAAACAAACTACAACTACAACCTACTTCTTGCAAGGAACATGTCAGGAAGGACATGGTATAGGTCAACAAAGACACAAGCCCAAAGTTCGAAGACCAGGGGCTGAAGAGGGCCTTAGAGATAGAAAGAAATGACAGGGAAGTACACCATGGAGGCAGAGGCCATGCAGGTAAGAGTATCCAGAGCCATTGGACAGATTCTGTATGGAAGGACAGCTTCAGTTCTTTTGAATGAAGGAAAAGGAATTCATCCTGGGCTTTAATATCTTCTGCTAAGAACATATACATATATTAATATTAGCTTTAATATGAACCCACCTTCTAGGTCACATGGAAACATATGGCAAGCAGATGAAAATGGAGTTAAGCACCATTGTGTGTGTGTATACCAGTCACGCCTCACATTCTTAATGGCCTTTTCACTAACAGGCTCTAAGCCATAGCTTTTTGCTTGTTAACTAAGATAAAAAAAAATCTCATGGACTTTTCTTCCCCAAGCTGGCTTCCAACTTTGATCTTCAGACCTCAGCCTCCTGAGTAATTAGAATTACAGGCATAAGTCACCAGCACCCAGCCAAGCACCAAATTCGTACCTGCAATATAAGCAGGTTGATTTAGGACGGGGCAGAGAGGGAGTGCTAATGAGCCAGGGACCTAAAAAGTTGGGGAGGGGAAGGAGCTACTGAGCCAGACACCCATGGTTCACACCATAGCCCTAGCTACTTAGCAAGTGTGAGGCGCTAGTACTCAAACCCCAGTACTGCAAAACAAAATTTAAAAGCAAAAGCTAGGTGAACATTTAGCAGAGGTTCCCCCAACTATACTCTAAAATGGCTTGAAATTTCGGGATATGGCAGAAGTACTGCCATCTCAATTATGGGGCAAAGGAACTGATATTTTTAAGATCATTCAATAAATTAACGGAATATTTTTCTGTGTCTGGCTCCTAAAACTAGAACTAGTAATTCTGTAGAAAGCACACAAGAAGCAATGTCAGTTTGATGCTGGAGATACTTGGCTCAAGAACAAGGTGAGACGGGTGGTAGGTAGCTCTTGCTTTTAATCCTAGGGACTCAGAAGGCTGAGATCTAAGCATCATGGTTTAAAGCCAGCCTGGCAGGAAAGTCCATGAGATTCTTATGTCCAATAAACCACCAGAAACCCGCAAGTGGCACTGTGACTCAAGTGGCAGAGTGCTAGCCTTGAGCAGACGAGCTAAGGGACAGCGCCCAGGCCCAGAGTTAAAGCCCCATGACCGACAAACAAACAACAAAAAAAACAAGGTAAATTCACCACTGTGAGAAAATTAGAAGGTAACAGAAAATTGTTGAAAACCAACTTTACCATAATTTTCGTTGGACTGGAAACATTTTGTAATTTTTTTTTATCATACAAATTAATATAAAGCAGTTCCATCCAGGATTTTTTTTTTTGGCCAGTCCGGGGGCTTGAACTCAGGGCCCTAGGCATTATCTCTGAGCTCCTTTTTGCTCAAGGCTAGCACTCTAACCCACTTGAGCCACAGCGCCATTTCTAGCTTTTTCTCTATATGTGGTACTAAGGAATAGAACCCAGGGCTTCATGCATGCTAAGCAAGCACACTACCACTAAGCCACATTCCCAGCCTTATCCAGGAAAATTTAAATTAACTTTGCACATACATCCTATCCTCATGTCAGCTTGTTCCTCATGTGACTCTTTCTAGGTTCTCTTCAGAGGTCATGTAAGTTTGCCTAGGTTTTATAGTACTCATTTCAACACACACACTATACACCTGACTGTGTACCAATCCAATGCCCACAAGACCACCTGAGGTATGTTATTAGGTAGATCCTGATCCCTACCAGCCTAAGCTGCAGTGCTTGCTCCAGCTGGACTGAGCCTCATCTACAAGGCAGACACTTCTACCCCCAATCCTCCAATTTTGCTTTGCATGCACCACATAGTCATACTTGCATACTCCCTTATTCTGATTTGAGAAAAATGTGGGCACAATGACAGTCAGAGCCCAGTGTAAAAGGTTTCCACACAAGCAATGAACCAACCTACTTAAACCATTGTAGAAAATGGAGTTAGCTTATCACTCAATTTCCATAGCTGGACACAAGAGCACTGGAATATATAACAGACTCATGAATATACTAGTCTTCGGTGTCCTGCCCTTACTGCTTTGAAAACATTCTGATGTTCCTGAGGAAAATGACAAGCTATTTCCATGCTGGGGGTTTTCTAAAGGGCAGGTTCTGCTCAGTAGTTTGACACTCCATAACTCTCCATCACTTCAATCACCACCCCCAAGCCCCCCACCCCTGCCCCTGCCCCAGTCCCTAACCTAATTTGAACACCACAATACTTTTCAAAGCAACTAAGAAACACCAGATAACTCAAAACTAAATGTAAAATGCTAAACTCAAGCAAAAGGAAAAGAAAAAAAAAGCAAACAGCAGGCAAGATGTTACCAAGAGGCTTCTTTATTGAGCTTACCCATAAGTCATTTGGGAACATAAGTTGTTTAAATCCAAGTTACAATTCAAATGCTACCAAGGACAATTGGGATACACAGTGAGCACTTTCAGAGACCAGCTTCTGTATCTTGACCACTAAATGGAAAGATTCTTCAGAAGAACAGTCCCTTACCCTATATACAGAAGAAGAAAAAGTAAGAAATCCACAATATCTCAAAGTAACTGAAAAACATTATACTGTCAATTTTGTGTATATCACTGACATGTAAAAAACAGCCATGAATTTATGCTGGCACTAACACACTATTAAAAGTATACTCATAGTGGAGCCCAATTGTTAATGGTGTCATAACTAAAGGAGGGAAATTACAAATTTGATGATATGGTTTTGTATCTCCAGTATTTAAATGTTTGGCCTAAATTTTAATTACTTTGTTTCACTTCAGAGTTCTTTTAGCTTTCTGCTTATGAATGATGAGGAAGTACAAGTAAAGCAGAGTAGTAGGAATGCAGATCTGGAATAAAACAGAACATTACATCTCACCACCTCTACCACATCCTATAAAGCATCACATACTTTGTATTGTAAAAATGTCTTGGGTATTAACTTTTGTTAGAAAATTTTTAAAAAAAGGAGTAATTACAATGTCAAGTCAAAATTATATTACCTTACAACACAGAACAATTGAGAAAGGTGAGTGAAATGAGACAGCCATTGGAAAATGAACAGGATGCTGATTGTTTTTGGTAGTGTTAGGACATGAACCTAGGACCTTGGGCATACTAGGCAAGTATTCTTACCAGTAAGCTATCACCCTGAATCCACAGGATGTTAAAAGGCTAAATACAGATATTACAGGGTCTTATTTTTGATAGGAGACTCTCCTTGTTTAAAACCTCAATAGCCCATCATTTCTGATGGCCTCGGAGGACCAAGTTTACATAGAATGTAGACCTATATACTCCTTCTACCCTAGGGAAAAAACTATGACATCTTTGATAGCTATGCCTAAGACTCAGAGGCCTCAAATCTGATAATCACTTAAGATTTTTTTTATCCATAAAGCATGTAAAAAGCCAAAACTTCATGACAGACAACTGAATTTGAAAAGCATTATTCTGAAACACGAATACAGGTTTGTTAAGTAGGATCACTTCCTAACTTACCTCAATTTAAAAAAGGCCTTAAGAATTCCAAGAATTCTGCCTCAGCAAAGTTTTGAAATCATAATTATGTTTATGTGTGCCAGGCAGTTTACAAGGTTCCTTCCAAACAGATAAATCTAGGAATGGTTAAGTTTGGAAACATGAATAACCAACATATAGTATCATCTTTCTCTTTTCTTAAAGAAAAACTGGTAGTGGCTGTGAATATTTTACCTGTTTACAACCATGACTTGCTAAAAGTCAGAGAATAGATACTAGAATTGAACAATGATCTTAAGAACTTAGTTCTTTCTCTCTTGCACCTGCCTAAAGCTGCAGGGCATCTTTAGATGCCCACTACTTCGGCAGCTGTGGTCTTTCTAATAATCCTTAGGATTATTTGACCACCAGTTATACGTGATCTTACTGCCCCAGTCTTTCATACCACTAAAGTTGGCACTGTTGGTTTTTTTTTTTTGAGTGAGGGGGACATGGCAGGAAATATGGCCAAATGAGCACTTTACAAACAAAATACTACAGTAGCATCACCACTCTAAATACCAAACACCAATGAAACCCAAATCATAATGCTGAAAACTTAAAAAATTAAGACAAGAATTAAATGGAGAATTCATTTTTTTTTAAATCTTTTATAGGACAGAAACCTGAGCTCATGTCTTCTGGTTGTCATCATCTTCCACTGAGCTGCACCTAAAACACAAAGAACAAGTAACAAGCAACTTTGTTTTTTAAAGAATGACTAATAGTTCTGAGGCATGAACTGTTTCTAGTGGAAGTTAACTTACTAAATAATTACATAAAATGAAGCCATGAAAACCACCAGAAACATCAAAATATCAACTATTTTGAGGGTAAATAACTACAAAAGATTTGAATACGCAGCATATTATCACCAGATAAAGAAATGGTGGGAGAATCACTATCCAGTCATTAAGGTGGAGAAGCTGCACCTGTGATGCCTTAATTTAAAAGGCTTCACTCGACCTGCAGATGAAATCACCTTACATTGATTTTAGTAAGTCTAAACCACGAAGAGATGGGTGTAGGTTCAGAGGTGGCTTATTATATCTCTATCACCTTCCTGGCTGTGTAGTTCATTTCATGTCTTTAAATGGAACAAAACCCACCAGGAGAATGCTATTCTGATTTTCCATTCTTGAATGCACCAAAATGTGCATGCTTGTTGTAATTAGGTGCCTGGGTAAATAAAAAAAATCCCATTTACAATTTTAAAATATTATTTAAACCCCTAAAATCTGTTTGCTCTCCATACTCCTCAGGGAGACAAAACATTAACTTACCCCCCAAACAGAAATGATTACATACGGTTTTTAGAATTCTTTTCTACCATGGTAAAAATATGAAATCCTTTGTGTTGCAAAACCAAGCTGATTTACATGATTTTGTTTAAAATTGTTGCTAAATGTTTATCTACACATGCTGTCAGAAATAACCTTGTTAAGAAGGTGAAGCTGGTGTCTCAGCAAATCAGACCCCTTGGAGAAGGCGTCGAATGGCCTGTGCCCCGTTTTCCTTTTTCTCTTTCCGCACCATCAAAAGGAAAAGTGAGAAAATAGCAGAAACATTAGTTAAATCCTGAATGATACCCTGTAACCTACAGGAATAATCTCACTAAACTGTAAGCTGACAATATCTGTAGGACTTATTTTGGGATGAAATAAGTATAGGACCCTAATTATTAATAAAATGATAAATTTTGGCCAGATCTATGTCTTTAAGAAATAATACTTTCAGTTACTTTCAGGAGAACGATAAAGGTTACTTTTAACTATTTACAGTTTACCTGACTTACCAGCACTGAAGACAAAAATCTTTTAAAAATGGCTACAAATGCCTTGTTCACAAAAGCCTTTATTATCTAGTGATGCATACTGAGAACATACAGAAACCTGCATGGTCCACCACATGCAGAGGAACAATCTTCACTTTACAGTGAGTGTCAACTGTTTTATGCAATAGACAACACTTCAAAGTCACATTTTTAAAGAAAAGCTTCATTTACAAAAGAAATAAAAGGTAAAGAAGCAATTACCGCTTTTAAAAAGCAGCTGCTTTGTTCAAGAGTGGAAGGTTTATGCCTGTATCGAAAGACAACATGATCACAAATAATGAAAACAATGAACAAATGAAAAACATTTTTACCATAAAGCAGTACACTTTCAAAAATGACATACAAATAGTTAAAAATTTCATTATGTTGTCTATCTAACCTTTAAATATGAGGACTTTCAGAAGCAGGCCTCAACATTTGTAATTAGTAAATGAAAACTGCATTGTTTCTATGTTGCTAGGAACTGTATTTAACAAAATGTATAGAAAGTCTATAGCAAGTTGATTTTAAAAAAGGAAATAAGAAACAGTACACTGAAGGCGCTCTACCCATCAAGCGCGTACTCTTCAAATTTTACATGTGATGAACAGAACAGAAATTGTAAGTATGCCACAGTTGCAATGCCAAAAAAATAAAACAAGATCAGTTATCAAACATGCAGGGAATTCTGCCACAAAGCTAATATCCCTCATTTGTCAATTATTATTCCAATAAAATAACATCTTAAAACACCAGTGATGTTGATGGTTTAGCTTACCTTCAGTGTACTGAATGTTGTACACAACCTGCTTTAAAAGAGGAGACCATCCCTGCAGGCAGGCTCAAGAAGGAACAGACCCCCTTCGGCACTGACTACACCAAGGGCATGCTGCTGTGGCCTGCACACACACACCTAGGAAAACGTGAATATAAACAGCATTTATGCTGGCCATTGTATCCGAAGACCAAAATGAAGCCAAGTCTGCTAACAAATCAACCACCCAATATTACTACTCGAAACAGATGCTTTTGTCTTTTATGGGAACTGCAACCATATACATTAGTACTGTAACTTTGTGCAGTCTTGCCAATTAAACAGTTCAATAGTGAAATTTCACATAAGACACAAAACAATTAACTAGCATTTCTAAAAGGAGTATCACCCTTGGTGTTAATTCAAATATATCATGCTTCCTCAAATTTGCTGGAGAAATATATTTATAAGTTTATATACATTAATAATAAACTGCTGTGAAATTTCTTCAGTCTTTGTATTTAATTACTCAAACCCTTGGAGTTTCTTCATCTCATTTTAAATTTTTTCCTGGATGAATGCATGCTGTAGGGCCTGGTTGATGCTAATTCGTTTGGCTGGGTCCAACATTAGAATCTGGTCCAACAAGTCCTTTAGCTGGTGTACTTTTTTACGTTGGTCTTCAGGAAGTCGCTGGCACCCAATCAAATCAGCCAACAGGTCCTTAGTTGGGTTAATGGTGCTCATGACAGTAACTTTCTCCTAAAAATAATTTTTACAATGCATGTCTCTAAATAAGTTACTAAATGTATGTTAACATAAATCAGATTTTTGTCTACCATCAACAGTAGGAAAGTATTTATATAAATCTTGATAAACTACTTTTAAAATGTTTACATGTATTCTCTATCTTCTACATCTTTTTAAACAGCAACTGAAAGACTAGAATGGAAATGACTCCATAGTGAACAATGAAAACCGACAGTAAGAACCCACTGCCTAATCTGTGCTTTCCCTAACCCTACTCAGGTGGCTAGAGGCAGGCACCTAAACAACCCAATACCATAAATGTTATGGAGTGCTATGATGAAAAAACGGATAAAATACAGTGAGGGCAAATACTAAGAAACCATTATTTCAACCCAGATACAGACTATATATTCTAATGAGACTTTGGATATATATGTACATACACATTAGGAGCTGGAGCAGTATAGGAGCAATAAGCTCAGGGAAGTCTGGGGGTAAAGGCACCAAGATCTGAACCAGCAAACCTGTCAGCCAAGTGCAAAATAGTGGGGATGTAGGAAACTGCTCAAGAAAGCAGAGGTCATGCCGGGAGCTGGTGACTCGAGCCTGTAATCCTAGCTACTCAGGAGGCTGAGAGCTGAGGATCACGGTTCAAGGCCAGCCCAGGCAGGAAAGTCTGTGAGACTCTTATCTCCAATAAATGACTAGAAAACCGCAAGTGGCGCTGTGGCTCAAGTGGTAGAGTGCTCGCCTTGAGCTGAAGAG